CCGGCGGCCGCGCCGCCCGGCCTGCCCTGACCTCCCCACCCCCTTCCGTCGACCGAGCAGAGCGGCGAAGGCACGTACTCACCGCCGCTCGCTGCCTCTTGGGCTTCGCCATGACTGAGGCGCCCCCGCCGCCCCCCGCCTTGACCGAGACTGACACGCGCGGCTGGCCGGGTGGAGGCGGCCCGAGGCGACCACACGGCTGACAGACCCGCCCCGCCCCTCCCCACCAGTTGAGCAGCGGCGGCTGCACCGTGGGGCTCCGGGGCTTCCTCCCCATGCCCGAGGCGGCGGGTGGCAGCGGCGGGCAACGGCGGCACTTACCGGCGGCGCAGCCAGGCCCCCCTGTCAGCGCGGGGCAGGGAGGGAGAGGAGGGAGGAGTGCAGGGGCACCGCCTCCCCCGCGCCGCCACGCACCCGCCTGATTGGCCCAGTTCACTCCCCCAGCGCGACCCCACCAGCCCCTGCGAGCGGCACTCCGGCAGCACCAGCGCTTCATTTGCATATTTGTGCCCGCGCCGCTGATTGGCCCGGGAGCGCAAGGAAGGCTGTGACCGCTGCAGCTCCGACTGTCGCTCCAGCTCCCGCCGCCGCTCCAGCCGCGCGTCGGGCCGCCGGGGAGGGAGGATTCCCCCCACGCGGCTCCCCTTTTCTCACGGCCTGGCCCGACCTAGGGCGGAGAGCGGAGGAAGGTGGGGGACACCGCCCTGCTGCAACATGGCCCCGCCGCGGTTATGATCCAATGGCTAGTGCGATTACTCCCGGAGCCCAGGGCGGCCTCGGGGCGGAGAAGGTTTGGGGCCGGGCGCCCTCTGGCCGGAGCACGGGGCAGTGCAGTGTCCCGGGCTCCCCTCTCGGCCCAGCCGAGGCCGCCACGTCAGACCGCGCCCTCCGGCGGCCTCTCCGCCCCGCCGCCCGCCGCCACGTCAGACCCTGCAGGCACGCCTCGACCGCCGGTTGACCAGTGGTGGGGCGGGCGCCCGAGTTCACTCACACGCAGGGAATCTCCGGGTCCGCCGAGAGCCTCATTCTTCAAACAACCACATTTTTCCTTCCGCTCGGAGACCTGCATGACACATGCACGCCTCTGCTGGGAGAGAGCCCTGGGGTGATGATGCAAGATCCAGGCCAGGTGTTCCACAAGACACCTGATGTAAGGGGACCCAGGCCTAAATCCAGATCTCAAAGGGCGCAAAGCTGAGGTTGCATCTAGTCTTCTCGACCTTCAAGTTATTGCACAATTATGCAGGGAAATCAGGAGCACGGAAAACGCTCTGCATGTGAAAACCGCTGACCTACGAAGGGTCTCTTGTCACTTTATCTAAATGACCTACATTAAATCATTCCCACGTCTCAGGGTCTCAGTGTTCCCTTCTGGAAAATTAAAAAGCTAGGAAAATTTGCTGAGAGCTTCCCAGGCCTAAAGAAAATGCTTTTAGACCTCGAGCTGGCTTTACACTTGAGTAAAACTCTGTATTAAAATGTGAGACTGATAAAATAATGGAATATTTGCATTTCACTCCTACCTTGCACTAGTTTGAAACTCTTATGTCAAATCCAGTGGAAGTGACCATTAATTAAAAACTTAGTTGATAATCAAATTTTACTTTCCACGATTCTGCTTAATTTTACCCAACAGTGGAATGGCAGAATACTCTCTGGTGGCCTAAAGAGTAGGGAAGTGTTCTTTCCATCCCAATTTACAGGGTTCGAATCCACTAGCTGCTCCAAAGCAGAAAGATGAACAGGCTGCTCTGGTGCAATTTATAGCCATTGAAAACCCACTGAAGGGTCAACTCTGAGTGAGTTCCCTGTCAACCGAAAATCAATGTCCTCTGTTATAGTCCCATGAAGGCCTTCCAAAGTAGATAAACACAGGTCTATTTAGCTGAGGTAGTGAATGGGTTGAGAGAGATCCCCTGCAGAGAGAGAAGTTACAGTTACTGATTTCTTCTTGTAGATACTTGTCATTACAAGCACACAGCAGGAAGAGAAAACACAAAGTTAAATCTTTGCACTCCCTCCACCACCGTCTGCGTTTGTAAAATCTACTCTTGAGGGGAGCTCTTGCCTAGTGGCAAGGAGCTGCAACTACAATCCCAGAGGCTCATGGTTCGAATCCACCAGATGCTCTGCCGGGGAAGGAGGAACAATCTCCTCCTGTACCAGTCAGATCTGATATGACGGTACACGTAAAAATAATACA